TAATTAATGTTACATTCCATACTTTTTTTTTGGGGAAAAAAAACATGCGGATCTCATTCCCTTTACTATACTTTGAATATAGTGGAAAGAGAGAAACACGAGAGCTTTCGAAAGGGTGGACGACAATATTGATAGAGTTAGAGCTACACAGTTTCAGACCCTGACCCTTAGAGCTTGTAATTTTATGAATATACCATACTTTTTATTTCACAAAAGCAAACAAAATTTAAATACATTGCAACTCCTCTGTCCATATCAAAGAGCTTGAAAATTTTATTTTTTTAATGACTAATACTGTATTTCTTAATTCCATAACTTCTACTAATGAAGAACAAGTGGATAAGCAACAATCTCAATCACTCATGCCTAACCAAAAATTTAATGTATCTACAATGCAATTTCTGGCAAATCTAACCACTTTCAGTGATAAAAAGATTGAGTACCTAATACTTGTCACCCTATTATCTTCAAACCAATCTAAGCGCTAACAATTTTGTTTAAAAAATCTCTTGCAATCAGGAGGAGTGAGCCCTAGAAACAACAAGTAAACAATATTTACATCCAAGATCAACCATATTATCACGCTAAATAACGTAACATGAGCTTTCCTTTTATAATTATTAAATAGCCATATCAACTTTTGACTTTGCACATCTTTGACTTACTTCTCTTTGATAAAAAGAATTGCTGAAGTGATTTTGGATATCCATAAGATCACAACCCTATTCCTCTCTAATTATGTCCCAAGTTGGGTATCCATAAGACAACAACTCTATTCCTCTCTAATTATGTCCCATGGAAACTTATATCAATGTCTCAATAACAAAGTTATAAATTACCAGAAATGAGACTTCAATAGAAAAACAAAGAGATGTTACACATTAAGTTCAGACTGATTATAGACAGCCTCTAAACCGGAATATATATATATATATATATATTTAAAATAATTGTTCTTACCTTGTACTCGTCAATAGCATCTTGAGCAAATGAAATATCGATATCCTTCTCCCTGTACCATGTATGAACAACTATTATCACACAAATCATGAATAATTAATTGCACATCAAGAATAGACAGCGGACTGACCAAAGCACAAGGCACAATATTTTGATAATAGGGGAAAAAGACACTCACTAATTATTATTAAACTAAGGATAATGAGTACGGTTAAACAGAAAAACATGAACTGGGAAGGGCTGTAAAATCAAAACCAAAAAAAAGGTACCATGTTGCTTCAGCATAAGATAGTCCTTGCCACTTCACCAAGTACTCTGGTGTTACGTTACCAGAGGAATCTTTACTGATTCGATCAGCAATTATTCTTTCCACCTGAAACGCACAAATGATCAACCAATTTCCAAAAGCCAGACGAAAGAAATCACAACAAATTAGACAGCATATACATAGGGGGTAGGTAGACAAATAGATCAATACAGATAAAGATACATCAAAGTACAAACATTCAGGTAAAAGTACCTGACTATTTTGCTTGATGAGATCCAAGTCCATTTCCTTGCTTACATCATTGACTTCAATCTAACAATAAAAAGCATGATCATGATAACAATCTTCACGGAAAGGATACATAGTAAGTTAAATAATAACTAATCACAAAATTATTCGTTAGAAGAAAAAATTAGTGAAATAAAAGCCAAGACAAAAATAATTATCAAATATTAGCCTGCATATCAAATTTTTTTATTGTGTTCCCTTTCTTTCTGGATAGGGATTCCTCCTTAGTATATATAGTCTCATTTTGCATTCGACTTTCTGATTTATTAATTAACTTAAGTAGCAGAATCCACAGAAGATAAAAATGCTTAGAGCCAAAGGTTGCATGATTGTGGTTCAGGAACTAAACAAGACATCCAGGAAATATTTTGCAAGCCAAACTGGCTCACATTGTACCTCAACCAATGTCTACTGTCAAGAAGGCTCATTAATATGAATAATAACCACAGAAAAGAAATTAAACAATGAGATTACCACCTTCACTAGAAGCACTATCCTTAAGTGACCATTGAAAATAAAGAAAATCCTAGAATTTCAGCTGTAAGTGCACTCAGTAACTTATTAAAATAATATACTTCATTTAATAAAATTTATAGCCAAAATTTTCAATCAATAGTTGAAAGGGCTGACTATTTACAATATGATAATCAGCTAGGTGAGAATATAAACTGTTTGGAAACTTTAGGATACCAAGTGGGCCACCAGCCCATACTTTTCTTCAAATTTGTGAGGGTAGCGAAAGAGCCACCTTATGCAAAACTAAAGTCCAGGAAAATTCATCAAATCCATATGAATGTCGCAAATGCCTCATCATTGGACAAAGCATCTCCCCAAGTGATAGAAAATTATTAGCATGATTGCTTCTCATAGTGCCCAAGAAAAATTATTAGTTCTAAACCGGGAAAAAGATAAATCTGACCTTGCTTGATAAGTACCAACATTAACAAGAAATGATCAAACACCCAGAGTTCCCACCCGAATCTCCCCCCTAGTCTAGTCAAAAAGATCAGGCATACAGAACGAATGAGCATCATTCCGAGAAATCGACATTAAGGTGCTTCATCCAAATAGAAACCTCAAAACCACACTAAGCAAAAGAGCCAAGGCATGGTAAAATCTCGTTGTCAAATGTTAGCTTTTATAAGAAAAATCTACTGATCAAAGGCAACACTAAGATGTTGATGGATCAGTTGCAAGAGAGCTTTGGGCATGAAATGGTACTGAGGTGTGCAGGTAAACAAACTCAATCTTTCTCATCCCATTGGCAATTTTCTGGTTTGTTTGGAAAGAAAGAAATTTTTTTTTTTGAGATAAAAAGTAGTAAATATATATAAACAGGGTATCAATGGGGTAGCACCCATATACAAATTTACAAAGTTGGAAAGAAAGAAATATAGGAGTTTTTTAGGGCATTCCTCCTTTTTTAATCGAGTTAGAGAACTTTGTTTACACCTCATTTACACCTAGTGTTCAACAGTCATCCTATCCATGATACAAAGGATCTTGAGAATCTTTTAGATATTTTGTCTTCTTCAGTGCAAATACTTTTGTGATTGAGCAGCAAACACATGGTGCTTTGCAAAGGAATCCCTTTTCTTCTTTCAAAAAAGAAGGCAACTAGATGTGTCCCCAATTTTATGAGTAAAAACTATGAATCAATTAACTTCATGATTGCTGCAAAATATAAAAATTATTAAAATATAAAATACTACTTGTTGAGAAATATGAAAGAATCATATCTTAGGAAAAAGTCAATTTTACCTCCTCTCGTGAGATTTTCCTCCGGTATCTAATATCCTCCGTCACTTTCTTTGTATAATTTAGAACTTTCTTAAAACCACTAAGCTGCAAAGTTAACAAAAAAGAACAGCTCAGACAACAAAGAAAAGGATACATTATTCCATGTAGACTGCACATTCACAGAGTAATGGCATAGGTTAAATAGAAAGTTAACAGCATACATGCACAGTTAACACCAAAATGAATTACAAACATACATTTTGAAGTTCAGAGAATGATTTCCACTGGCAATGCAAATGTGATTGGCCTTTCCATTTTATCAAGAATTCCATCTCATTCCAATCAGGTTCAGAATCAAACAAATGGCTTAAAAGAACAGGCTCTGCTGATCTATTGTTTCTTTTTGCGTCTTCAGCCACACCCCTTGGCTGATGCCATAGCACCTTCTCAATGATGTCACCATCTTCTTCTTCAACTTCATCCTGCTTAAGTATTGACATTAGAATAAGAGAGCAAAAGACAGAAAAACTGAAGCTTAAGGCCCTGATCAAAGATATAAAAGAAAAAATGACTTTATTGTGTTCAACTAAAAGGAAAGCAAGTATTCCTGCCACATGCAGACAATCAACCAAACACCAATCCACTAAAATTGGGATAATCAATAATAAGCTTACTACCAAATAACTGAAAAGAAAAGACAATGTAAAACCATATTGCACCTTTTGGGGCTTTGTCTTCTTGCCTTCATCAACTTCTTCACTTCCTCACTTTCGGCATATGATACTTTTCGAACAGACTAGTAGAAGTGCGAACCTCATTATGGCGCCCTGTAGTACTTGCTAACAAAGTTGAACGGCCATTGTTCTTACGGAGATGTGCACCCCGTCTTGTCATGCTCTTGAAATCCTCATCACTTTCACTGTCAGAGTCCTCTGCTGTGTACTCATCTTCTTCAAAGGATGGTTTCCTCTTCTGTCGGCTGGATGCCTGGAATGTTTTGCGTTCTCTAGCAGGTTTTACATTACGACCACCTTTACGTCCACCTTTGGTAGATCTCTTTGTATAGTAAGAATCATCTTCATCTGAGACATCAAGCTCATCATCACTTTCCTCATCTTCTTCAAAATCTTCACCATCCCAATCTTTATCCTGCTATATATAGAAAAGCACTTCCTTATTCTTAGTGGTTTCAGACAAGAAGGCAGGCCATAGGTTTTAAAAAAAGAGGAGGGGAAAAAAGGACTGTAGTTACCACTACAGGTTTGAATACGGTAATACTGATAATCAAGATTTAGATACTTTCTAGGAAAATCTTCCAAATAACTGTAATCCAAAATCATAATCTAACCACATATTTCCTATATTCTTCCCCCCCCCCCCCAGTTAAGATTCAAGTGAAAAGTTCAATTAGACACATATAGTTCTTTAAATCTGTGTGCAAATGACTATCCTGAATCTCCTCTCCCCTTTCTCTTCCCTTCTTTACTTCCTCACCAGCAGAAGTACCCATCTTTTTCTTGAATAGCTTATTATGACTGATCTGCAGTTCGACGGTTTTTTTTGGAAACTGACTCTGAGATAGAAACTCGTTTATACATACTATACTTTTTATTTCAAAAATAAAATAGAAAGAGTATACGTCCCATGTCCAGCAAATTTTCCTAC